AAAAAATATCCTCAGGTAAGGATTTAAAAAAATAAATTTTAAAAAAGTAGAAAAGTGAGACCCAGGGAGGCAGACTCCGGTCCGATAAGACCCTGAGAGACGGGACGTGGGTGCCCACGCCATTCCTGGGAGAATTCAGACGGTCGCTGAGTTGGCCGTGTGTCGGGTGCCCTGAGGAAGCCCCGGGCGTGGCTGGCGGGCTGACCGGGCAGCAGCTGACCGTTGGGCCCCTGGTTGTTCCTGACTGTCCCCGACACCAGCTGACGCGGGAGGTGTTGCGTCAGCTACGCCAACACCAGGACCGCGTCCCGGAGCCTCGGCTTGGCCGTGAAGACTCCCGGCTCAGCCACCTGGGCAGGGCAGCCATACGTTTCCCAGCACCTGGGCCCCGAGAGCCACTTTGAAACAAGGCGTCTCCTCACCTGCCTCCTGCCCTTCGAGGAATGTGATGAAAAACACTCCCTGTCCGAAGGCGGTCGTGGAGAAGAGGCACTGCGAGGGGCGGGGGAGAGAAACGGCCATTAGCGCTCGGCCGCCGGACGTCCCCAGCGCCGTGTTTAACTGGAGGAGCCCCGTGGTCCCCCTAAGGTTCCCCTCTAAGATGAAAGCACCCCCCCACGGTGACGTCTGCACCTGGACATCAGGCCCGAGGTCAGCTGCTGGAAATGCAGAAACAAGCTGGTTTTAACGTTAAAAGGAAATATCTCTCTTTCCTGCGGTGCCCGAACTATAATAAATCCCTCGCCGTGTACAGAAACGGGGACACGGCCGCGGGAATCGGGCAGAGCGTTTACTGTTTTCTGCTACGAAGTGAGTGCCCTGCAGCCCCCGGGGCTGACGGCGGAGGGGACACGGTCTGTGCCGGGAAGACCGGGCCGGAGGGAAGCCCTGCTCTCCTCCCAGCGCAGAGGCGACGTCAGGAACAGGCCGCTGGAAAGGAGCCTTATACCGAAAATGTGACGCACGGAGGGAGCCTGTCCTGCAGAAGCCACTTGAATGTGTGAAAAGGAACCTGAGCTTTGTGTGCACAGAGCCCTTTGATACGAGGCCTGGAGTAAAAACAAATCAACAGGGTTTGAAATTCATGCCTGGTTGTCATGGCCCCGTTTCCACACGTCGGCGTGTGCGGGGTCCGAATGGTCCAGGAGCTGTAACCACCCTGGAAACACCTCATAACACTAACCCGGAACCGGGGGTTGTGGACTTCCACGGGTGCGATGTAAGCTAGTCCCACCAATGGGCCCCTGTCCCCCTGTCCACCTGTCCCCCTGTCCACCTGTCCCCCTGTCCACCTGTCCCCCTGCATGCAGCTCTGTGCTGTTTGCAGCCAGTGGGCACCATGGGGCGCCGAGGGGTTCACTGATGCTGGAGAAAACACAACGTGGTTCTCACAGAAATATTCCCCCCTCAGGCTGGGATCAGGCAGGGAGGGGACCCTTCCTGACAGGTGAGGACAGGGAGGAGCCTGGGGCATCCACCTGACCCGTG